GAGACAGAGACAAAGAGATGTTGACATCCATTAAACAGACCATATCAAATACTCGGCCAAGAAGCATCCATGCTTCCAGCTGGGCATTTACCCGCCATGTGCATGGGCGCCAATCATGCACCATCGACATCGTGGCGAATGTCTCGGATGTCTCAGGTTGTGTGCCGCAAGTGGCTGTAGCTCTTCATTGATATCGGACGCTTCTAGCAAAAGATGCAAAGCAACCCGATCAGGGGGAAACGAAAAGCCGGCTTGCACTTTTTGCTGTGTCTTCCAACCACCTCAAACCATTAGTCTGTCACTAGTCAGCGTATGCCGCAGTGATTTGCAGCTGGACGAAAAAACATGTTTTGAAAGTTGAACGCTGCAGCTGTGATATCCGCTTTCAAGCGCGAAGAGCCTGCTGTAGCAGCACATGCATCATGACTGCTTTGCGCTCTTCTGTTTCACTTCATAGCTCAATCTTGCGATATCTTACCAGTTGGCAGGTTTGGAGAAAGATCTCCCAATAGTTCTAACCTATTGCCCGTACATGTCGAACCCCATACACATCGAACAAATGCATGTTTCCACAATGAGGCATGGAGATCCCATGTGTGGAGTGTGAAATTGTTGAGCGCGACCTGTCCCAATGTGCGAATCTCATCAACAAAATGAAATTTAACAGCAGTGATATTTTTCTCTTCAAGATCGTCATTTGCAAGGAATTTCAAGCATAGTGGGTCCACAAGGAGCTCAAGTGCTGGATGGACAGGATTGGTGCATCCCTGAGGGCTTTTGCTGTTCCACTTTTTCTGCCGACTTTTGGTTCCCAGTCAGAAAGCGTGTTGACGGATGTGAATCTCTGGTGGAGCGCCTGCTCGGGCCAGCAACGACTGAGCTCTTTGACATTAGTGGCGATGCAGATGAAAAGGAGCAAATTTGCCCCAAATTACATTTGTTACAGCTTTTGCATGCCGCCTGCCCTGGTATTTCGAACATCTGCAGTGTCAATCAGAAACACCAACTCATCCAACTTTAGTGTTTTTCCGAGCTGTGCCTCAATCCAGCAGCTGCTTACCTTAGACACGGAAGGGTTTCCTTCTCAATCATGGCGCATGATTATATAGAAACAAGTGCGTTCGATTCACACTGTAATTCCAGCTTCGGAACATATCTGACTGCCAAAGACGGCATGCACTTTGCATCCTGGCATGTGTTGAAGATGCAAATTGCTGTATTTATATAAAAGGCGAAGTAGGCCTGAGTCAAAGGCATGGGTTCAGGCACCAGGCACTTGCTGCTGTCGAATGAGACAGTAGATGATGACTGTAGGCTGTACCTGTCATGACTCACTGCTCTTTTCGAAGGATTTGGCATGATGTAGTGACATTTTCAGGTTGGTGGCTGGAAAAGACCATGTAGGAAATCCATGGAAGTCCATCGTGTGTATGTATAATATTACATGCATCTGGTACCTGTCTATTCAGGACAGACATTCTGCAATGAAAATGTACAAGGTCAAGGAGCACCTCGGCAGAAATTCAATGAAAACAGGATTCCATAGATCTTGAAGACGATGAAGTTCAAGCGATCTCTGAGTCTGAGAAAGGTGCATGTCATTCATGAGAGTCAGTTCAGGCCTGCGACGATGCATTCACTCCCCCATTCCAGTTTTTGAACTGTTGGGAGAAACATGGAGAAACTGTATTGACTCAAACATGCCAATGTCACACATGGGTCAAAAACATGAACCGGCTGCAGTGTGTATCACAGCATTTCCAGCCTTGTTCAGCGACCAAGAGATCATGGGTCCGCAGAATGGACTTGTAATTAAGCACTATGCCTGGCACAAGTAGTCACCGTTTGCTCAATTCATTGCTACCAAACACACACCCAAGCAATTGACATTGCTATTGGAAACAATATCCTTTTGCCTATCATTTGTGGTTGGTGTGAAGTCAGTCATGACAAACACATAAACTATCCCAAAGGCTGCCGGCCTCAGATTCTTGGCGTGGGCCCAATGCAAAGTACTGTTCAATATCCTATCCATGACCTTTACGTGCTGTGCGACCAAGAAACGCAAAGTATCGTAGAGTATTCGCAGCGTTCGATGCCTCACACCGATGTCAAGCAAAATTCAAAGGAAGTCACGCACTCCACAGACAGCCTTCAGCGAAGCAAGACACCCGTCATCAAGATTTCAACCATCAGTACAAAGTGTTGAATTGGTTAGGTTGATTCACCATGAATCATACATTACATATTCAGATTGTTTCCTTTGGACTAGCTTTAGCGACGTGCAATGAAACTAAGAACACTGATTTTGGTGTGGACTTCGAGATGCACCCCGAACAGTCATGAAAGTCATTCCTCGAATGATTTTCCCAGACTAGCCATCTGCTCCCAAACACAAGTTTGCGCTTTCGTGACACAGTTCCGTAGTGTCTTGCATACACAAAACATGTCAAAACACACATCAATACATATCATCAATTGCATTCAGCAAGCCTTTTGTGAAGCTTTTCATACTGAGAAGAGCCGAGGCGGTCCCAAAAAAAAATCACTTAATTCAAAAACAAAATGGTGATCCTGCTTCAAAACCACCTTGGGTCAATGTTTTTCGCAGCTGTTCAGAATCAACAGTACTAGGCCGCCAACGTGGTTCAATATAAACAGCATTAGCCCTGAATGGTTGCAAATAAATCTCCGACGAAACAAAAACACATTGGCAAACTTCCTGGCCAACTGTTCAAGACTATCTTGAGAACCACAATATGTTTCCCTTTGAAGATGTGCGGTTGGATATCACGCACGAAAAATCTTCACAAAATAACGTCTTGATGGACTATTTTCGGACTTATGCAACTTGCGTCATCTATATCTTGTCGAAATCATCCTCACAACCGAATGAAGGGGGCGGGTATAAGAAGCCTGAATCTATCACGCAATCAGCGGTTTCTGCCCGCAATCGACCGCGCTAAAGCAGAAGCATTTTCAGGTAGCTGAAACTAGCTGCCATTTTGGGTAAAACAACCAGTGTTGGAGGCTTGCTGTCAAAAATCAAGAATTCCAATGGGAATGGTTTCGAAACTAAAAATCACTAGACACGATGCATGCGTGCTCAACACGACTAGCTACTTCGATTCTTGGAGGCCCATACCTGTCACATGGAACAACAAAAAGAAAACAATCATATAAAACCTGTGTGCATACACTGTCCATGTCTTGGCTAAACCACAACTCTGCATTAGATTACGTTACGTGAGCTATGGACAGCAACAATGAAGTACCAACAAAGGCAGCCAGCCCTGCCCCAGATAACCAGATGGCCAACCCAAACAGCGCAGACATAGCAGGATTTCATCAATCGGACACACATGCCACTGCCTTCATCAGAAGGCAGATCAAACCACGTTATCTGAGCTAGGTGCTTTGTGCGTTTTGACTTCGAAATGTGCTTCGCGCCACAACGGCGTGCACTTTTTTGACATCGCAACTTCCAAAAGTGGTCCGACAATGGTGCGCTTTCTACATTTTGACTTGGAAATGTGCTTCGCGCCACAACCGCGCACTTTTTCGACATCTCAACTTCCAAAAGTGGTCCGGACCGAGGTGTTTTGTACATTTGGCTTCGAAATGTGCTTCGCGCCACAACGGCGTGCAATTTTTCATCTCGCATCTGGCCAGCTGGCTCCGCACCCGCCGCTTTAGCGAGCCCACTTTTCGACCCTCCGGAGCCCCAAATCATTGGAAAAACACAGTGTTTCGCGACTTTCCTACCTTTTCGCGCATCTGCATCTTCTTTCTTCTTACTCTTTCTCTTCTACTCTTCTTTCTTCTAATCTTTCTCTTCTCTCTGCCTCTTCCCTGCTCTGCTTGTCATCTGTCCATATTGTCGGAGGTTTGACTTCTAAACTTCCTTCGATGATAGGATATGATATTGTGTAGATAAAATGAGAAAGAGGACAAGATAAGTAACTTCACAACGGCATGGTCCTACTTGAGCAACAGGATTCAGCAAAGCACATGTATCAAATTGGCAAGTGCATGGATCTGCTGTCTTTGCTTGTATCTACTGCAGTTTGCAGGCAACCTGTTGAAGCACATTTTCTGTACATCATTTTACATCCAAATTGTCAATTTGAAGAAATATTTACATGTTCGAAGGAAGTTTAGAAGTCAAACTTCCGACAATATGGACAGATGAAAAGCAGAGCAGGGAAGAGGCAGAGAGAAGAGAAAGATTAGAAGAAAGAAGAGTAGAAGAGAAAGAGTAAGAAGAAAGAAGATGCAGATGCGCGAAAAGGTAAGAAAGTCGCGAAACACTGTGTTTTTCCAATGGTTTGGGGCTCCGGAGGGTCGAAAAGTAGGCTCGCTAAAGCGGCGGGTGCGGAGCTAGCTGGCCAAAGGAGAGATGAAAAATTGCACGCTGTTGTGGCGCGAAGCACATTTGCAAGTCAAAATGTACAAAACACCTGGTGCTCGGAGCACTTTTTGGAAGTTGAGATGTCGAAAAAGTACACGCCGTTGTGGCGCGAAGCACATTTCCAAGTCAAAATGTAGAAAGCACACCATTGTCGGACCGAAGTTGCGATGTCGAAAAAGTGCACGCCGTTGTGGCGCGAAGCACATTTCCAAGTCAAAATGCAGAAAACACACCATTGTCGGACCACTTTTGGAAGTTGCGATGTCGAAAAAGTGCACGCCGTTGTGGCGCAAAGCACATTTCCAAGTCAAAATGTGCAAAACACACCATTCTCGGACCACTTTTGGAAGTT